ATAAAAGTTTTATTCATCGTTTAATCGTGAACTGGTAAAAGGAGAAAAAGGATCAAAAGAAACAGCTAATTATCTTAATTATATGCTTCTTTTTCTTCGGTCGTTTTGTGATGGTAAAAAATTTCTTACTCAGCTAACGATCGATTGTCCGCAAGGTGATATGTTAGAAAGAAGCCAGAGAAATAACCATCGTAAGATTATCTTCTCCGTTTCTCGGCTTCGTGGTTTCCTCACCCATAAGTCTTAAAGCTCTGTAAATCTTCTTCAGGATACTCATATTTTAATAATATTGTATAATAAATGTATATCTTCATCTATCTGAAGATTGACGAACAGTATTTGTTGTTAGCAATGCACAACTGATTTGTTCATGTTTAGTATTCGACTAAGACTAGGAAACATTTAGATGTCATCTAAATCTATCCTGGCATGTTGAATAAATTTTTCTTTTCAAAATATCTCCATTTGTTGCATTACTTTGATGTCAAAAGTAATTCATCTCACGTGTTATTAGTTATTATTAGAAAATAATTACGTTGAATATGATGATTCTTCTAATGGTGGCAACAAATGTCCTAAAATGAATTGGAGATCAATGGAACTTTGGAAAAATTCATAGGAGAGATAAGATCTTTAATTATTAATAATAATATTTAAGATTACAATATTTTCTTTCAATTAATATTTTAAGTGTTGATAATAAATATTATTATTTATTTATGAATTTTTATTTGTTCAATAGAAAGAAATTTAAATAAAAATGATGGAAATTCATGGTATAATTCACTCGGGAAGAAGGATTAGATATTTTAAGTCACTCTATCTTTCCGTGCAATGTATATCGACATGAAATAATTAATTACCGTCACCTAGTAAATTTATCTGATGAATAATAACTGCTGCATGTAATTAGAATAAGCTGTCTCATATATTTTATTTGCTTGCTCGATTCTACTGACTTGTTGAAATTTCAACTTGAAAATCAAGGCATCTTCAACTACTAACACATGATCCTCGTTTAAGCAGAAGATGTAGTTTGAGTTGATCTTATTACTCAGCTGGTTGTGCTTCTTATGTTCAATGATGATATACCAACTTTACTTGAAGTATGTACTTGTTCATAATTCAATATTTACATTCGCTTTTTTCATGTCCCTTTAATGCTGAAATAAAATATTGTTTATAAAAATAAAATACCCAAAATTAGGGCGAATAGAATTAGCTAACTAGATGCCAAAGTAGTTCTTGAAAAAAAAAAATAGTTTTTAAATCAACGAATAAAAATTGACTTCATTTTTAATCTGAATAAACTCTGAAGAAAGTTTTGTCGGTTGATTTCTCTTTTGCTCTCATTTCTTTCTACATTTTTTACAAATTTTTTTCTAGATCAATTGTAATGATTATTTTTTGTAATCTTTGATTATTATTGTTAGTAAAAAAAAAATCATCTTGATCAGAGAACTCATAATACTGCCGTTGACATATTCTAATTAAAAAAAAATGCAATAAATTTCTGGTGAAGTGATTCTAATTCAATTATAAAATAAATGATTTATTAAAAATCAAGTTGAAGTATAGAGAGATCGTTCAATTATGGTGTATACGTATATTACCTTGTTACTGCACATCATACACTATTCAAATTCTATGAAAAAAATGAGATATTCTATATTTTATTTCATTAATATTTGTTCACTAGCAAATAACCAATTTATTCTATTACACGGTACATTCATGAAAAAAAAAACATATTCCTTTATTAATAAAAGTATTTATTTAAATTCAATGCTTTATATAAACCTATAGTTGACTAAAAAGCCAGATTTCATTTGCTCTTGTGTACATATATAATATATACGATAAATAAACATCACTATGAATGAAATTCAATTTTTTCATAGATATAAATTTTGTGGTGCCAAATTTTATTTTTGTATTTACCCATTTATCTTTAAAATAAATTCATCATTGCTGTGGAATATAACGTTGAATTATTTTTTATCAACAAAATTTGATGTTAAATTAAAAATATTGATTCAAAAGCCTATTTTGTCATTGCAATATGTACAAAGAAGTAAATTGTCAAGCTCTTAATGGATTTTGATGAATTATAGTGAAGGAATGATTTTTAATAGTGACATTATTATATATACGATACATCTTAATAGAATTCGATAATAGTGAAGAAAAGACGTAAAGTTGTGTGAGAAATTGAGAATGACACGTACAAGAATCTTGAATCACTCGGTAATTCGATAATCTTATTGGTTCAATAATATTTACCATCAGTCTACTTCCCCTTTGGGTATGCTTTTCAAATTTAATAGCAAGTAATACTTGGATATTCTAGACCATCTCTCTACTGAAAACTTATATCTACATCATCATCTCTTTTCATCGAAAATATAATTGGTTTGCATATTATTTTTCATTTTTTTTTTCTCAACATCTTCCGGATGATATTTCTGACGTTTATGTCGAGATTCGGGACGAACTGAATATTGAAGAAATGTTAAGACGTTGGAGTAATGGATAAAGAGCAAAAAGATAATGAAGACAAAGCTAAAACTCGATGTCAAGTTTCAGCAGATTATTGTACTATCTTTTAATAGAAAGTCGACTTAAATAAAGGTAGAATAATCTCTATTATATATTTTTTATATTCTCTTGTGGCTGTTGGATTTTGAATAAAAAATTTGTTTAAGGATTTTGAATTGTCATCAAAAAATAAATTTATTTAAGCCATAACAATTATCCCGAGAATTGGTTCTAGACCAAGGGAAACGATTTAAATCTTCCTATTATTTTACGGATTAGGCAAAAAAGCATCGCGCCGACGCGGTAGTGACTTTTGCACCCCTCGTCGGCGTCACCGTAATCTACCCCAAACACGCGATCTTTTTGGCGAATATAAAGCCGTGCAAACGCTTCGTCGACTTGCACGAGAGTCATTTGTGCATGAGGAGCCAGCATAGAGGGTAACTGGCGAGATTCTTGGAATCATTTTTTCTCCCTGAAATTGAAGAGGCGATTTATCGTGCTGGGGTTATAAATAAAAATCCTTCATTTTTATTCTTAAATCAGCCGTGTAAAAAATGAACAAGTTGTTATTTTAACGACTAAATATCTAGAACAAAAAATCATCCATGATAGTTATTCATATTTCATTTTTATTATAACCACTAACAGTAAATTATTATTTATACCTGACAATGCGTCAACGATATTTCTGAAGTAGTTTCGAAGAAGTACTGAAGAAATAAAAAAAAATATTTACTGCTTTAATGATTGACTGAGTTAGAAAAAAAACAACACTCATTTGAATATCTTGTTTAAGTATTTAATTATTTTAATATTATCTTAAAAGTAATTAGTGTTAACTATGAAGTAGTGCTCACATACTTCACATGTGTTCATTAATCTTGAGATAAATTCAATTCTCCTTAATTAAGTTAGTCCAAAGTATTGAAATTTACTCGGAAAGTTATAAAAAATTTATTATAAAATTATCCCCGTCTGAAATCAAGGTATTTCGGTTGAGATTAATTTTTTCTTTAGATTTTTTTTGCTGTATTGGAATTAAATATTATTAAAAAACAAAACCTTTCTTTTAATAAAAAAATTAATTAATTGTTTAAAACTTAAGCTATTTAAAATCTAAGTTCCCCTTTCTCTCCATTTAAACCAGTGACAATTAACTACAAGACTAGATTTTTTAATATTCATTCGAAAACGGTTCTTTAAACTTTCGTAAAAAAATTTATACAGTGTGAATACATTTGTAATTAATTCTTTGTTGAAAAAAATCAAGTTTTATCATATCGTTGCTAAAAAATTAAATTATTAATAATAATTATAATTTAAACTCTCCTATCAAATAGGCATCAACCTTTTTATGTTTTTTGAAGTAATAAAAGATAAATTAATCAATATGCAGGAAGCTGTTGTGTAGTATTTGATATTTAATATAAAATATAAATTTTAGTTCAAAGGGTCCTAGATCTTTTTTTATCCTTCAAAATACCTTGAATGGTATTCTGCAGAATTTTTTCGTCCGCATGAAATTTTCTTTCTATCAAAAGCGGATCTCTCAAAAAAGCTAATCACAGCTTATCAATTAACCTGCTTGCGGTGATTCTAGAATAAAAATGAAAACCATTGATAAAGTATTCATGACTAAAATACAAGATTTTTAATAGAATTGTAAGTAGTTTTGAACACTTTTATCTGCATTTAAATCTAATTTATAAGATATACGATTAAATGTATGTATGTATTTCATTAAATATTCGCACGTATTTTGACTCCGAGATTTTTTGAAAGTCAAGATATATCGAATCGACATGTAAAAAAAAACGAAACGGTTTAGAGTCGTGACCGCAATATTTCGAGATTTTTCTAACGTTGTCTTTTTTGAAATAAGAGGGAATAATTCAGATAAATTTTTTATTTTTATCTTACAATTAGTACGAGCACATCTTTTATTTAAATGGAAAAACCGATTGAGATTGCTGTCATAGCAATAGGATCCTTGATATGTCACTCATTATGACAGTATTTTATCGTACGAGCGATTAAACCCGACTGATTCATCAAACTACTCATATGTGTTTGGTCATTCGTCTGAGTCTTTACATGATGGGATATCCCGCGAGGCCTTCAACTGGAATATATACTACACGAGATAGTTATGTACTGTGATAGAATTACATTACCCCTATGTTCCTATTATGAAACCAACCCCAAATTCTGTCCAACATTTTCTTGCTCCTCTCACTTAGCTTTTTTACGGCTGACTACTCTCGGTATCCGCGCTTCTTACCCAGACGGATTTTCTTAATAAGCATCATCTCGTGCTTTTCATCACTAAGATTTATCTAGCATTATTCTGTTATTTTATCAATGTCAGCTTTTTGCACAATTACTTATGTATTTTTTTTTTCTCTTTTATGTAAATTTTATATTCCTGGAGTTTAAGTAACTGACAATTTTCCTTTCAGATCCCAATTTCAAGGAGCCGATAATAAACGTCACAGCATCTGTTGGAAGAGAAGCAATATTAGCTTGTGCTGTACAAAATCTTGGTACTTATAAGGTCAGTATTTTTATCAATTATCATTATTTTGACTGATACTCTTTTATATAAAAATTTACTCAATACTGATATTGATTTGTTTTTAATAATAACATCACTGAGAGAAAACTTTCGTAATAAACAATTCAATTGAATTTAATGAAATTTTGCTTGAAAAAAGTATTTTGATATTTGGTTCAAGATTATGACAAGTTTAAATACAAGTGACAGATTAATTTTTATTTTCCAAGATAGTATGAATCTTAAAAAAAATCAACAATTCAATAAAACACTAGAATAAACCAGTGGTCAAATAGTTTTGTTTAAAATAATCCACCACAATGACAATGTATTTTTTCACTGAATAATTCCAGGTAACAATCAGAATCTACAAAAATGTTATTATGTTAATTCGAAAAATATATTTCATTAGGACTATTCAAAATTTTGATTTTATTAATTGAAATAAATATTACTTGTTCTCAGTCAATTTTTTTTTCAATGTACTACAAGAGTATTACTCAACACAATTGGTACTAAATTTTTATTTCATAGAGAACGATCTAAATACAACTTCGATGACGTAAAGATTTGTTGAATAAAAATAGCTCAGAGTAAAGATATCTCGAATTCAGGTCTTCTTATTGAATAGTGATTTCGGTCAATAACTTCGTTGGACTACAATTTGATTATATATTTAGATGCATCATTCAAATGAATGTACTATTTAATATTCCATGTTGTTAATTAAAAGTATCTCCAGTTAATACCATTGTAGTTTAACCACACTTGGCCTCTTTGCTCATTGAGTAAAAGTTATCATTTTTTTCCTCTCAAAAGAGATTGATTGTCAAACTACGTGTGTGTATGAATATTAAATAAATGATAAAATTGTATGTGCAAACGATCTGTTTTGTATGTACCAAATATGCGATGTATAAAAAAAACGTCAGAGTCAATGATTCTCAGTATAAGGCCCCTATTTTTGCCAATGGCTAGCTTTTGATCGGATTGTATTTATCGTATACGTATTCCTGGTACATTTCCAGTTCGATGAACCGATGAAGCGTGTATATATCGTTTGCACACATCAATTTCCGGACAGTAACAGAGATTCAAATTTATTCTACACTAAATAAATTTTCTTCCTCGTGATTTGAGTATTTGAGTCTGTATACATCGTTGAATTTTGAATAAATATTGCAGTCAGATTATAGTGTATTTCCTTCTTTTTCATTCAATAATTCAATCAATTATTTTATGAACTACTTTTTTTATTACTACCCCGTAGATCCTTTAGATAATTTATGAGAATAATAAAAGTAAATACTCGAAAGATATTTCAGTAAATATCTGAAATGTAAAGATGGGTTGAGAGTCTCTCTTCACGATCTCTCGTACCCATCTGTTATTCATTAATTTATCATTTTTTTTTATTCATTCTATCATAAATAATAGTTTATAAAATTTATTTATTATTTACTTAAATTTAATTTGTAATTTGCATATCATTTTCTGAATCCAAAATGAGTTATTACTTCATTATCATAACGATTTCAAGATACAGGAGTGGAATACAGAGTGTAATTTTCTTAAAATGGATGAGTACTAAACGTTGTTTCAAAGCTTTTCAAGCGTTCGAGGAATAAGTATGAAAATATACTAGAAAATTTAGCTCCATAAATTATTCGATATGGTTAAGTATGAAAATTCATCTTTTCTTGAAAAATGAATAAATTCTTTGTTAACAAGAGTATTAGAATATTTTTTTTAATCAAAATTATTATAGATGATATAAGCTTTCATTCAGCGTTAAAGCTTAAAGGTCAATATAATAAATAGTCAACTTTGTTTAGCTTCAAATCGAGCATATTTCTTCAATCGATTATTCATTAATTATATATTATAATACAAACCCAAAGAGGAATGCATACAGTAATTTAAATGATTACCACATTTTTAAATAATAAATTAATCATACGATTTGGAGAATTTGCAATTCTATATCAAATGTATATGTGCAGTATTAATTTATTACTCATTCAATTAAGTTAATCCTTTATGTTCATTATTAGATTCCAATATATGTTTTGCGTTTGACTGTATTTCTTTTTCTTTATGATTAGAATTCATTTAATTTAATTATCTGCCTGAAATGAAAGTATCAAATATTTAATTTGAAGAAATGAAGGATCATTCCAAGCTTCTTTTTTTTTTTTTTTAATAATATATCACTTTTCAAACTAGGAAAGAATAAAATTTATTCTGTAACTATGACAGTTTTAAAGTGGAACGTATTTTAAAAAATTACTGTTGTAATTTACAAACATATTTTTAATTAATGTGTACTAGAAAGAGTGAAATTGGAATTTTTTTCGAACAGTGTGAATATGATTTGCTGAAAAAAGTTTACAACAATATGACAGCAAGAAAAAAATTGATGCAAAACCACTAGTTAAAAAAAGTACTGATTCTAAATTTAGCAGAATTTTTTGAAACTCCACAGAGGCTTTTACAGTTGATAAAAAATTAAAGGGTATTTTTACTCAGAATATTTCAAGCAAATGGATAGTTACAGGAGACTATTTTTTTTCAAACCTCAGTCATTTTACATTTCAATATTTAATAATACTTTACAAATGAATAATAAAAAAGTCTAATCCTAACTAAACATTTCTTTTTTCCTTTTAAGTTTATGTGATACAAAATATTTTTAACAGATTTAATTATCATCACAATTAGGAGATTTTTTAATTTCTTTGAATGATGAGAAATTAATATAATTAATTACTATCACAGTGAGCAGGCTTAAAAGTCTCTTTGTTATAATACTAGTATCACCAGAACTTTATAAATAATTAAAAACAGTTTCCCATTCATTATATTCATGCATAATGCATAGTTATTAGGAGAATATGTGAAATTTCGTCTTATACAGCTTACTGCATGTCAGGATGTGCATATGTAGTACTCTATACTCAAGTGAATAATTAAAAGCTGAAACTTTTGTGTAGTGCAGCAACATTCTGAGAAGATGTTCTGAATAATAAACTCGATATCAAGTATCGAAGATTAAGACTATAATTATACTTATATTGAATTCAACATTTATCAATGTAAAGTTTATGAATACTCCAACAAAAGTATACTTTTTTGATATCTCTCACAGGACAGATTTATATGCTGGTATATACATGATCCACATAGATGAATTGAACATAAAATGAAAGAAGTAAAACAATATCCCAACATTTAGTTCGAAGCAAGGTATATTTCATTTCCACGCAAATTGCTCAATTTTATTCAATTGGGATATTGAGCAGCATCGTTTTACCCAACAAGAAGCAATCTTGTCTGTTCGATATTTCCATTTTTTATTTGAAAATTTTGTCAAGACTAACTCGGCTATTCGTGAGTTGGTGTAATAGAAAACGATAAATGAATTGCAGGCCAATTGTAAAGACGAAAAAATGGAATAGGTAGTTCAAGAGAAACTGACCATGTTGTTGCGAGGGATTGAAGTAATATGTCAGGTACCATAGGAAATTGAACAGTAATAAATCTAGATATACAGAAACTGCATTGCTTTGATATACGTACTATTGGCATTTGCTACTGTAAGGGTTTCTCTTTTGGTACATTTTCTTTTCATCGAGTGGAGTGCACCACAGAATACAACCTACACATCTTCTCGTTTCATTTCTCAATGCTTGTTCAATCGGAACATGGTAACTTTCCATCTTAAGGAGACGGAGACCTAAACCTCTTAGAATCAACAGTTGTAATCGATCAATCATTCAATGAAAAAATAAACATTTTGCTCAACTTTCTTATTATAAAATCCTTTTTTTTTGTTAATTTGCCTACACAATCTAAGTCAGACTGAATAAAATCCGAAATATAAAGCTGTAGAGTACTTGAATTATTTGATAAAAGAGTCTCAATGTTAAATTTTCAATTTATTTTCTTCTATTTGACATTCCACTGAAGCTTTAATATACTAATGAATTTAAATAAGAAATAATTAAAAAAAAAATGAGACCATTCTTCTATGTTTCAACGTTTTATCATTCTCTTTGGGTAGGTCAGGATATTTATATCTACGTTTGAGATTGAATCAGAAACTTTGTATAAAGAATGAGGATAATTTTTTATCTATTTGTTTTAGTTCTTGAGAAAGGAGTAAAAAGAATGTTACTGATTATTGACATCAGTAGATAAAAATAACATTTCCATCTTAATTTTATAGTAGAGTCTTGATAAGATATCTATTCTTAAGTTCAACTATTATAGATGAACTAGCATAAGTCAAAATTTACATTCTCTTGAACAGATATTCTTTGACTTACATATATTATAATGAAAAAAAAATCATCTTCTGTCAAATAAGCTTTCTCTTCTTCATTATTAACTTTGATATATCTGGTACATTATATTAGTGTAACCCAGTTCATTTGAAAGTTTTTTGTTATATCTAAACTATGATGATTGTGACTCTTAAGCTATACAGGAAAAATCTATATTCAGTTTATATACATAACTCTTTTTACTCAGGTATTATTATTATTATTATTATTCATATCTAGTGAAGACGACAGTTTTATTGAACCAGTGAATACCTAATGATTTAGATTGAAAATCTGTAATTTAATATTAGAGAAGAAGAAGTCTATTTTCAGTTCAATAAATCAATACTAAAATCTTGAAATAAATGATTTTCTATTTTTTTTTTACCATTCTTATCATGATTTTAAAAAATCATTTTTTTATATGGTTTGTAAATATGCTGTTTTTTTACCATTTAATTTTGCCTCAGGTTCTTCAATTACCTTTGAAATTGATTGAAATCCTAGGTAATTAATGTCAAATCCAGTCAACTGAAATAAACTGGACAATCAAATTTATTTGAAAAATTTATTTTGAAATTAAATGCTAATATTTTCAAGAGTAGAACTTTAATCTTTTTAATTATACATAAGATATGACTCAGTAGTAATTCTTGTTAAAAGAATATAAATATC